AGATAGTGTACATTATTTTACAGAAGCAAAGAAAACACTTGTTAGTTTTAGCTTGATAACAAAGACAACTATAATGGTATTTACCAAATAAAAGTATCGTGATTTTAGGCACCGTGTTTTTACCTAATTTTGTTGGGTAAAAATGTGATTAGTGTATGTGTTTTTATTTGCATTAAAAATATATGGGCTTTCCACTCATTTTCAATAAAAAGGCTCTTATTATAGTTGTGCACTAGATCCCCACAAGCCTTAATTCAAGTAGTTGGGTATAGCTTTGATCATGCTCCTTTTTCAACTTCTTTTCGACTGATTTTTTCTGTATGGAAACAAATTGGTTTATTTTCATGTTTTACTTAAATCACCTCTCAACTCAGGGCTTACCATCTTCCTTTTCTCTCCGCATATTTTGTCATGTCTCATAATTAAAGGGATTCATTAGACTTTTGATCATCACCTCTTATCTTGAGCCATACATTTCAGGTGGTGAAGTGTCCACTTTGCCAGGAGCCTTTCCGCGAACCAAAGGTCCTTGCCTGCTTCCACTCATTCTGCAAGGCTTGCCTCGAACGACAAATTGACTCTGCAGAAAAAATTGTTTGCCCTCAGTGTCACATGGAAACACAACTTAGGTAAAACGGTTTGGGATATGTTTGTTTTTTCTTTTATTATCGAGTGATTTTATATGTAAAATGAGTTCAGTGTCCAACTTGGCCTCGATTCCCTCCTTTCCGACTATGGTCTTGAGGCTGTTCTTTCTCGTCCTAACATAACCGAAGATAAAGGATTGCTGTTTGGCTCTCCCAGTTCTACTTCCTCATCCCCTCCCCTTTCTGACTCACCATGCGATCAGGTAGTTGTCATTGTAGATATCTTAATATTTACTGAATCTCTAAATCTAGAATTCTAACACAACAAACCGGTCGGCATGTACTGGATGCAAGTCTGGAGAACGCGCATCCCACTACTGCCAGGAATGTACTCACTATCTTTGCACCAACTGCACGATGGCTCATCAGTACATGCATTGCTTTGAAGGGCATCGTGTTGAAGCCATCTCTCAAATCCAAGTACCTTTTCATTATAGGCATTGTTCTTTTTTACGCTTTTCCAAACGAATAACACTTAAGGCACCTGCTCCACCCGCTCCACCTTCAAGCGCCGCTTCAGCTCACGAACGTGCCTGTAAATGTTTGCAACATCGTGCTCAGCCACTACGCTTTTTCTGTCTTACCTGCAATTTGGCTATCTGTCGCGAATGTACGCTTGTGGAACATGCACAGCCATCTCATCAATATGAACCCATCAGTGAGGTAAACACTTTCCTATATCTTTCTTCTTAATTTCTTATTTATATCCCCAACTTTGGGCCCTAGTATTGTTATCAGACAGAGAATTACGGAGCTAATAGAAAATTAAAATTAGGATTGTTATGGGGTCCCGGTGAAAATTTTGATTTCAATAAAAAAAGGTATATTAAAGGTCTTCTTTCTCGATTCGCCTCGTGTACCAGAAATGATGTCTGCTTTATATCGAGCTCAGCTTGCTAATCATGACATTGTGTGAACAAATCGTTCAGCTCTGATCGGCGTATATAGTCGATACAAATAAGATAGTATAAAGCAAAGTTCCTTCAAATCTGTCTTTACGAGTATTTGCTATCAAACGACTACTAGTTATTACTTCTGATTTTTAAGTGTCACCCAAGGATAATGTTTAGGTTGCGGATAAACAGCTGAACACAATGGAATTGCTGGTGAATGAAGCACGCAATAAGCATATCGAGCTGTTAGAAATGTTCAAGCAGGTAGAAACCTTTATTCAAATTTGCTTATTCATTATTCAGTGCAACTGTAAACTGAAAGCTCCAAATTTCAAGGTGGATGCTTCCCAACAGCGTCTAAGTGCGAGTTTGAGTCGTGCTCATTCACAGCTAGACGATAACGTGAACGCTCTTGTGCGCATCATAGACGAGGCGCGCAAAGCTGCCGCCAAGGAAATTGACACCGCCTTCTCAGCAAAACAGGTACTGTATTATGTGCGGGATGTCCGCAACGATTTGTTAGACAAATACCACTGGTCTAGCGAGGGGAAAGGAAGGGACATATCACAGTTTCTACCAAAGGAAGCGTTTTAGATTCAACTCACTATGGTGGATAAGCGCATTCAACAGATGACAGAAAAACTTAGTCAAACTATCGATTTCACTACTCGACTAGTCAAATACGCATCTCCTACTGAAGTGATGGTGTTCAAGCAACTATTGGACACTCGGCTTCAACTATTCCTAGCTTTTAACCCTGATGTGGGTATTTCTTTTAGCAGTTTGTTAATGAGATTGAACAAGTTTAGGTTAATTGTCAATTACGAGCACCTTAGCATTCTATTTAGGCCTCAAACGCTTTGGGATCTTCTTGCGAATTGGACTTGCCGCCGCTGAACATGGGTGGTGCCCGGCAAGTCATTCAAAGCTTACTTGGTCAAGTACGTGGTGGTGCTGCAGACTGGAGTGGGCAAGCTAGTTCACAAACGGGAATGCCTCCAACACCGATTGGTAGACCGCCAAGTAGACAGGTTGGTTTATACCAATGCTTAGTCAGAATGTATGGAAAATATATGTTTCAAGTAGAGATGAGAAGAACTTTTGGCTAATCGTTTAGTTTAAGCTTGTGCGCTCCCCGCCTCAGGCCCACAGTGTTCCCCTTGCCCCAAACGTGTTCTCCGAGCCTAACAGCTTTCTTCGTCCCAGAAACGAATTTGGTGGCTCTAGTCAATCTCTTGGAAATTTCGCCAGCGACGTTTCATCCTCTCTTGTGGGTTCCTCTCATTTGTCACCTCGTATCTGTGTTTTTGCAATTTTGAAAACACTCACTTTACGCAGCTTAGAGTTGAATTTTCCATGTGGAACTATGACCATCTAGCAAATAACGCAAGAACATTTTAAAAAAACTTTGAAAGGTATGACGAGAAGCGTAATCAGGCAAACTGCCTCATTCGCTAGGCAAATTTCTCTGCAAAAATCTTTTTTCAGTCACCCGCGACTCTGAAAACCCAGACATCTGCTTTTACCACCTGAATAACTATTGCACTCCGCAAATTTCGAGCCTTGCGGAGATTGAAACTCGCACATTACTGTCTAAGA